TGCCTGAGCTCACCTCTCATCCTGGATGGCAACCCCCTAGAGGACAGCGAACTCATCTTTCTCACTCCTGCATCTCCTGGCTCTTGTGCGATGCCAATGCCCTGTCAGTGTTGGCTTTAGTGCTGAGTTGTGTTGAGAATGACCTTGGGAATCTCATGAGGCAGTCTCTAGAATCTCCCTAGTGTGGCCAATCTGTGTCCTTTGGCGGGTGAATGTCACTTCAGGAAAACTTGCAAAGTAATTCTAAACTGGGTTCGGTGAATGCATTTAGCAATGCCAATTCTGTCCTATAAATGTTTACAAGGCTGGTTTTATTGCATGGCTCATAAGCCAGGTCTAGCTGCCATTCTCCTAGAAGCTTTCCAAAAAGTATTTTGAGCAGGGCCTTTAGAATAGGCGTATGGAGTCCCTCCCAAGACCAAGGCTGACTTCCCTGCTCTGGACCAAGCAGCCGTTCCTGTGTGAGGCTGTAATACTGAGATTGGCCGCCAGAGGAGGGACGTGTTCCAGACCCTCGCGGGGCCTCCTCATTGCTCCACGAACATATTTAAAGACTGGCTGCTAGAGCAGCTGCCGTTCACATCTCAGTCAGTACCTAGCAGAGCTGCTGGTGTCTCCACAGAACATCTCCTGAGCGCTGCCCGTGGCCGACTGAGGCGAGGCACCAACCTAGGGACTCCCTGGCCACAGGCCTCCAGCTCAGGCACAAGGCTGAGTTTTGCCTACAGCCTTGATCCTTCTTGAGAAGTGACCCCCGAGACGAGTCACTGGGCACCCTTGCAGCCTCTTTCTATGACTCCGTCTGGATTTGGCTGGCTGTGGGGACAAGCTCCAAGGGGCTGCCTGGGTCTCCATTCAACAGTAGCAGCCCTCTCTCCAGCCACCACAGTGAATGCCGGGAACTGAGGGGACAGCCTCTGCAGCCTCAGCGGAGGTACTCAGGTGAGTTTTTGTCACTTTGACACTAACTTTGTCCCAGCACCTGGGCATGGTGTCCCAAAGGCAATCGAAGGACATAGGATGTGGTGGATGGGGCAGGGCACAGCCTTTGGGCATTCTCGGGATGTGGAACATGGAGATGCCAGTGCCAGATGGGAAGACCCCAGCTGTCAGCCTGTGGAGATACACTGGGCCCTCATCCAGCTGCCTGGACTGGCGAGTGTGAGCCTGCATTTGGGGTGGCAGAGGAAGCCTGGCAACTCTGCCTGGCTTGTGTCACAGCTTGAGCCTCTTCAGGGAGCAGATGGTACAGGTGACAGTCACTCTACATGTCGCTCTACATCCCCACATGCATGTTTATGTGCATGTGTGTGCACACACATGCCTATGGTGGAGTGTATGCAGGAGAGCTCACTTATGAAGCATCTACACATCTCCAGCTTAGGTTAACTGAGTACAGTTAGAGGAGGAAAGGGCTTAAAACCTGCTCAGTGATAGTTTCTCTGGAGAAGGCCACATGCATGGTGATTTTTACCTGGTTTTGATGAGTTTAAAGCCATGTGATCCAAAGAAAAGCCAGGAGCCCTGCAGAGTTAGATGTTAGAATCCAGAGACACCATCTTTGCAGCAACAAGCAAGGCTTATGCTACCCGCTTGGCAGGAAGAATCGATTGAGTCCTCTGCTGCCCAGAGAGGGACTTTGAGGGTCGGGGTCTGGATTTCTGCTCTGGTCTACAGTCCCGATTGCCTTTTGCAAAGGGTACCCCAAACAGCGTTGCTTCTGGGACTGGCATGGCAGGAGGGAGGCCTCAGGAACCTGCAGACCCCCCCACCTGGCTGCTTGGCAAGATAAGATGTTGCCGAGGGGCTGTTGGTTCTTACCAGACTCTGCCACCAACTCCCTGTGTGCCCTTGTTCGTAAAGTCTTTCTACACGCACGATTCCACATGAGGCTCTCGATAACCAAGTGGCTGGCAGATGTGCTTCTCTCAGTCATAAAAATGATGACCTGAGGCTGCACGAGCTCAGCTGATTGGGCCAAGTTCCCGAATAACAAGAAGTGGAGCCAGGATAGGATCCCATGTCCGCTGAGCTTCTCCCGCCCCACAGGCCTGCACAGGGCCGCCTGGGGTGGAGCTGTGGATGGCTGAGTGCTTCAGCTCCAAAATGCATCATCAAGATACCCTAAGAGGTCAGGAAAGTACCCTCTCCCTGGTAGAGGAAGGTCTCACTCTTTGACTTGGAACACAGAAGTCCAGATTCCTTGGACTTCCTCCAAGAACTCTTTAGCATCCACACTTTGCCTATATTTCTGTGTCCCTGGCCCCCTCCTTTCCAGCTCTCAGAGTCTCTGTTTGGCCACAGAGCCCTTACCTGCCTCTCTTCACTGACCCTAAAGGTGGTCATCGAAAGGCACTGATACATCTCTCCTGGACAAAGCAACGTCGTGGCCGAGCCAGTGCTGTGGGCGGGAAGCCTTTGCATGGCGCCTCACCCCTCTCTGACATCCATTGGTTCTTGCCTCTTTATGTCTCAATTGGCTTATCTTTAAAATGGGAGCGACAGACTGATACCACCTGCCCGCCGCGCAGTGTTCCTGGAAGGGCAGAGAGATCCCTGATGGCAAATGTCTGTAACTCGTGGGCCGTAGGAGGGGTTCGTGGTGCCTTTCCTTAGAGCACAAACGGCCTAACGGTTATAAGACCAACATTCGAAAGGTCCAAATTCCTGCCCCCATTCCCCAAGGAAGAAAACCACCCAAAATAAAACCTGGGGCAGACAGAACATTCTTAGGTTTCATTCCCAAGTCACAAACATGAGCGGTGCTGGCTAAGCATTTCCAGTCTCATCTCACTCACATCTGGCCTCCTGCTCAGCCAGCCCCTCTCCCAAAAGAACGAAGGAAGGAACAAGGATCGAGCTCCCCAGGGATCCTGCTCCACAGGCTGAGGGCTGGGGAGGGAGCAGAGACAGGCCGCCCCACACACACATTCCAGATAACAAGCCTCGCATTCCAGTTCTAGTCCAGGAGGCCATCAGCAGAAGGGGAAGGTGGAAATGAAAACGGGGCTAAGCTGGCACGGGCCCATCTCCACACCTCCACTCCCAGCACGGCGCCTCGGGCAGGTAGTGCCTATGGCCTTTGGCAAAGAGAGGGTTATCACTTGCAGAAGACACCGGCCTCCTGCTTCGTAGCTCCCCAGGATTGGATGGAGGCCAGAAGGAGGGTGCTGTGAAACTAGGGAGGGTCCCCTGTGGCTTAGCAGCAGCGAACTACTCAGGGCCCCACCTAGAGGCCCTTACTGGGTGGAGGACTTGGATAGAGGGTGGGTACTGGAGACTAGCAAACTGGACACAACGGCAGCACGGAGAAGCTGGGGTGGGAGCTGTCTCGGGGCTCCGGGAACCCCGGGGCAGGGAGGAGACATGCTGGCTGAGCCTGGGCTCCCCGTTCCTCTCCCTCCACAGGATGGAAGAAAGGCCCACAGAGACTGGGGCACCCTGCTCACGCATGCGTATGCGTACGTGCCCGCAGGTGTGTGCCCGGGATGTGGCATCTCATTACTTGAAAAGACAGAAGCCCCTACTCATCCCTCCTGGGCCAGCGGAAGGACAGTTGTATGTCAACTGGCCATTTATTGTCTGTTCTCAGCCCTGAGGTCTCTGAAGACAAAGGTCAAGCTGTGAGAACAGGAGACATGCCTGCTCTACCAGGCAGAGCCTTGGGCCAGCACTGTCCCCCACTGTCACCTGCCAGGTCCCTGTCCCCTCCTCCCAGGTAGTAGTCCCCTGGCTGGTGCTCTGGGTCACAGAATTGAGCTTATTCCACTCCGGGCATGGGACTTATCTTGGGGCTTTTATCTTCCAAAGAATTAACTTTTTAAAAGCGGAATTTTTGATTCAATATCCAGATAGTCAGAGAGCATCAGAACCAAAGGCCAAGCTAATGGCGGGAACCAGCCAAAAGGAGGTAGTTTATAAAATCACTGAGCATATATGTGAGAAAAAGAATATCAAGTATTTTATGTAAATACTTTGTAATTTGGCTTGAAAATTTGATTTTTCTAATTGCATAAAGAATGCAAATGCATCATAGAAAACCTAGAAAATCCAGCAAACAAAAGCAGATACAATTCCCACCAAAGTCCCATAACACACGTCTCACCTGGAGCAACTGGGACATCCCCACGTACAGTCCTTCCCTTCACATATGTCGGACATGTGTGTATCTTACAAAATGGGACTGCGTCATACACGTTTGTGTAAACGGGGCTGGTTCACTTCAAACAGCAGAGCATTTCCCCGTCAGTGGGTATGTTCCTGGGACAACATGGGTAGGACCTCGAGCCTCCGTGATCTAGCCTCAGGGGGCCATCCAGGCTCTGGGGTCCTCCCTGGGTCCTCCCTGGGTCTAAGGCTGCTCAGGTCTTAGTGTCTGGGGGGCCCAACCAAGGCCACCTGCTCCTGAGGTTCCCATGAGAGGTGAATCGCTGCTACGCTTCCCCTGAACCCAGCTCCTCTGACCGTGCCAGCCCAGCTGGGTCGGGAGCAGTTCCGGTCTTAGCTATGTTGGCCAGTGGTCTCTGTTCACACCTTGGTGTCTAATGTCCCTCGCTTACGATGCAGAGCAGAAGTCCAAGTTTGTCTGACATGTCCAGGGCTCCAGAGGCTCAGAAACTGCTCTGTTTGGGTCAGGAGGTCAGCTCCTCCAGGCCCCGCGCAGCATGGCCCTGCCCGCCCCGCTGCTCCCTCAGCTCAGAGAGCTCCAGCTCCACCGAGAGCTGTTGAAAGGAAGTGGGTGGACCCCATCATCAGAAAGTTCCAAAGGGCCTGGGCCTTCCCAAGCACTGAGGAAGTTGGAGATGGGGAATCGGGGTCCTAAGGACCCAGTAGATGCCACCTGTTGATGAGGACATGGTCCCAGTGTCCAGGTTTGGGGTCCAGGGTGGGCACCCTGTTCTGTCCATTCATTCATTTCCACCTACGGTTTATTCTCTCCCCGCTGCCTCCCTCCTCCGTCTCCTTTCCTTCTGCTGCCTTTCCTGCTGCTGCTGCTGCTGCAGAACGGGATGGAGAACAAAGCCATGTACCTGCACACCGTGAGCGACCGTGACGCCGGCTCCATCTTTGAAGAGCCTTTTGATGGCAGGAGCCTGTCCAAGCTGAACCTGTGTGAGGATGGTGAGTGCCTCTGGCTTGGTCTTGGGGTGGGAGATCTGCCCTGGATCTCATACCCAACCTTGGCATTGTTCCAGGGTGCTGGTGACCTCCCACTTAATACTGTATAAGTTAAACTTCCTGCTTTGAAAGGTATTTTGCATGTGTTTTCTCATTCATGCATCTCAGCAAACCTGTGTGATCAGCAAGATGAGTACCCATTTTACAGAAGAGCTAGTGGAGGCTGAGAAAAGCATTGAGGGTAATTCAGCCCGTCAGTCGTGGAGGGGTTCCAGCACTGAGTTTCCTGACTCCCTTTGGGGTCAGGTAAAGGCATCTGAACCAATTAGCTCAGACTCTCAGGTGAGGAGCCTCCAGTCCATTTCCAGAAGCATTTGTGAGGAGATAATATACCTCTCCAGGTGTTCATTCTCCCTCTGGTCTGAGGCCCCAGGCCATGTCACAGAGAGGGGTTCCCCATCCCAGTGACCCAGATGGTACTACATCTTTGGGGGCTAGTAATGTGCTAAAACTCTGGAGATGCAACTGATGCAGCTTCCCCCAAGAAAGCCCAAAGCCCCTTGCCGATAGCCTGCCTCCTGTGTATCTAGCACAGAGCTTGACGACACTTAGTAGGTGCTTAATAAATGCTTGCTGCACGAATACATACACTCCTCTTTGCAGTGAGTGTGGGAGCAGACAGTGTCATCCCTACTTTGAAGATGAATAGAATGAAACTCACAGAAGAGTCTTGTAGAGACTTAGGGCCACTGAGGTAGAGATAGTCTGTACTGGGGTTCTCCAGACAAACAGAACCTGTATGATATGTACGGACATATATAAAGAGATATATTATGCGGAATTGACTCAAATGATTATGGAAGCTGAGAAGTCCCACGATCTACCGTCGGCGGGCTGGAGACCCAGGAGAGCTGGGAGTGTAAATCAGTCCAAGTCAGAAGGCCTGAGAACCAGAGGAATCAATGGTGTAACTAGAAATTTGAGGACTGGAGAAGATGAGACGTTCCAACTCAAGCAGTTAGGCAGGAAATAAGAAGCAAATACTTCCACCTTTTGTTCAGGCCCTGAACTGATTGGATGAGGCCCACCCACAACGGAGAGGGCAATCTGCTTTTCTGAGTCCACCAATTCAAATGCTAATCTCATCCAGAAGCGCCCTCCATGACCCACCCAGAACTGATGTTTAATCCAGGCCCCGCTGTGGCAGTCAAGTTAACATATAAAATTAACCATCATGCATGCCCCTTTTCAAGCTTTTCCTCAAGGACCATGTTTCGTTGCTGGCTGCCTCTGCCGCCCCTCCCCACTCAGCTCCCTCCCTCACCTCCTTCCAGCCTTTGCCTAAATTTCACCTTCCCCAGGAGGCCTTCCTGTCTCTCCTGCCTACTCTTGTTCCTGCTTCTCTTTTTCCTTTTCCCCTGAGTCCTATGTCCTTCTAACACATATGTAATTTTCTTATTACGTTTATCATTTGCTATCTGTTCCTCGTGGGAAAAACACACTGGGCAGGGCACCATCTCTGTTTTGTTCACTGATGTCTCCCAGCCTGGCATGTAGTAAGTGCTAAGTATTTGTGAAATGAATGAACAAATGAATGAATGAATGAATGAATGAATCCAGGGGTCCTTGAAATCTTAAGGTGGCAAAACAAATACATTCTAAACCTGACTTTCAAATTGTCTACGTCTCCCTTGCTCTTCCTTCCTGGCTGCCAGGCACGGAGTTTGGGGGAGGGGGCCACAAGGAACTCAGAAAGACTAGTGTTGAGATGCAACCAGCCACTTAAATGAAAACTCATGGGTTTCTAGTTTTTTTTTTTTTTTTCCTTCTCTTTCATTTCTAAGAGGAAAACAGTGAGCTCTGACTTCAGGAAATTCCAACCATATTTGATGTGTTTCCCTAGGATTTGCTTCTTCTTGATCCTCATCCCTGAAAAGAGTAACCAGAGAGGGAGAGGAAGGCCGATGGGAAAGAAGAGAGTGGGCAGAGATGGGGCCAGGGAGGGAGCCCCGAGCCACCTGTGGGCCTTGATTTAATTGAAACAGTATCGTGTGGTGGGGCCTCGCAGGGGCTCCAAGTTCTTTCCAGGTTTCTCCCCTTGGAGGTAAGGAGATGGGAAGGAGAGGAGGCGCCTCCTCTTGGCCCTGGGGATACTGGGGAAGCAAAGCTGCAAAAATGCAGCCCAGATAGTACGGTATGACTTGGACTTTAATGCAGGTGGCTCTTTACAGACATGAAGGGGTAAACGTGTTATTTCACAGGTCACGCACTGACAACTCCCTCTCCTTTCCCCTCTCTTTTCTTGTCTTCTCTTCCCCTCCCACTTTGCCTTTATCCCTTCCCTTCTTCTCACTCACCAGGTGAGACGGGAAGGTGATGACTGTTGTCTCGGTTCCTCTGTCCCCTCTATGAGAAGGCATCGTGCCCAAATCCTGCATCCTTTAAGGCTCACTCCCACACTCCCCGCTGTGATGGCGTCAGGCCCTCTCCCTCCTCTGCACCCCTTGGTCAGGCCCCGTCTCAGGACCAGCCTCCTCAGCATCCTCATTGGAGCCCTCTTTTGATGGGAAGGCGAGGGCAGGGACCACCTCACCCCCACATTGCCACCAGGCAAGAGCGTTGGTTCCACCATTTTGCTGCAAAAGCGTGGAAGGAATAACTGCAGAATTCAACCTCCAAGGTCCTTTAGCTGAGCTCCCTTCGACTTTGATGCTCACTTACACCACCCTCTGAAGCAGAAACCCAAGTGGGCCAGCTGGGCCTGCTCACCCCTCTCCGCTGTCCCTCTCCCCTCTGCTCCTTCCTCTCCCTCCCCTCTCACCTTTCTGTTTCTTTCTTTTCTCGCTCGTACAGCTGTAGGCCTCTCTAGTCTGGCGCCAGGAGGCAGAGGAGGCGGAGGGCTGGCTGTGGGTGATGTTTGGCTGGGCCTGGCTCCTCCGTGGCCCTTTCGGAGGGCCAGAGAGAGGTGTTAGTGTCAGAAAAATATTGCAGTCAGCTCACCCTGCGGCCTCAGGCCCTCCACCACACTCGTGGCGTCATCCGCCGGCCACAAATGGGAGGTTCTCAGAGGTAATGAGTTACACATGTTCTTGGCTGTGCCTGGACGCCCGCAGCCGGGCAGCTTGCTGAGTTTAGGGCCCGAGCTCCCCATTCCAGTGTTCCTTTCGCGTAAAGTGAAATTATTCTCCTAGGGGAACCCCCTCATCTACCTTCTCATCAATCAAATCTTCCCAGTTTATCTGGCGCAGCTGAGGGCTGCTGGGCAGCCGCCAGAGATAGACGTGGGTTTCCTGGGAGTGTCTGGCAGGGGCCTCAAGGGGAGTCCCCGCCCTCTACAGGTTGGAGAATCAGGCACTCTGCAGAAGAGAAGAGATATTAACTCATGCAGCGCCATAGTTCTCTCGGGGTTCTGTTTCCGTTAGACCAGAGCAGAGAGCAGAGTCCTGCTAGATATATGTGTGGGCACAGGGGGGTGGGGCCCAGGCTGGGTCCTGGTCTCTCTTGCCCAAAGAACCGTACCGTGGCAAGATGGGGGACAGCCTGGGGAGGGGACAAGAGCCTGGACATTGAAGTTTGGCAGGGCTGGGCTTGAATCCATAGACCACACTGGCCGTGTGGCCTTGGGCTCAGTGCAGGGTGTCTTCCGTTTGCCCCTCCATTCCCACGCGCTGCCATTCACCCCACTCTCTGTCTTGCGGGGGATGGCTATCGGGGAGCTGCCTGCAAAGGAGATGGGGAGATGGAAGAAAGGGAAGTGGAGTCTTTATTCGTCCAGCTCCTGCCGTACGGGGTCATCTCAGGCTGCTGTGTCCTTCCGCCTAAGGTCACAGGTCCTCGTAAGCCACCTCCTCCGCACTGGCTTTCTCCTCCCAGGTTCCGGGGACCGCTCCCCTCCGACGCTGGGGGCCCGGGATGGTTATGGCCCAAGGATACCACTGCAACTGTTGTGGGCATGTTACGCCCTGACCATCTAATCCTCAGAGCCCCTATCCACCAAATGGGAATAATGTTACTCACCTCTCAGGAGCTGTGGCAGGAATCAGGTGCCATAACCCCGGTAAAGCACCTGTGCGCAGTTGGCTCTTGATACACCTGTATTTCGCCTTCCTGCATTTTGAGGAGTCCCCACAAATCTTGGGGATGTGGGAAGGAAGGAGAGGGAGAGACGAGGAGGTCAGGAGCAGCTGTTGTCACCCAGGGTCTCCCAGGAAACACCCACCCCACTTCTCAAGGACCCCCCAGCCTGGACAGCATTTTAAGGCCGGTTCTTAACTTCTGCTAAAGAAAGCAGTTTTGGTTAGCGGACCTCCTTGTGAAGCCTAGATATTCAAGGAAACCCAGGGAGATCTTTTAGTCCTGTTCCCCAAGTAGTAGGCTGTGTAAGGAATATTCCAGGTCCCCAGGGCTCCTGGTGCTTTGGCGTGTGTGAGGCTGGCCATTCCCCCGCCCTGATCGGAGCTGTTGGCTCCCAGGGGCCGCCCCGAGGTTTGCTGCCAGAGGGGCTGAGGGATGTGTTTCATTATCCCTGGGTAGAGGCTGGAGTCCTGTGCAGGGGTCGGGGAAGAGTGAGAGGAGCTCAGACACCCCGAGGGCTCCTTCCCACGTGGGTGGGTGCAAAAGGAGCCCCTGCTGCCTTTCCTCACCCAAGCCCCTGCTGCTTAGCTCTGCCACGTCCTCTGTGGCATTACTTAAAGAGTGGGAGACCCTGAATGGAGGGCCGATGAGTCAGGTCACAGCTGGTCTTCATTGTGTCACCCGTTTCTCCCACCCAAGGACCTTGCTCCTGTGCTTCTTGCCCTTCATTTCCTTGCTCATTCATTCCTTCATTTGTTTATCTTCATCTTTCCATAAGAAAGGTGCTTGTCAGGCACCAGGTGCTTCACACTGGCTGGCTACGTGCAGCAAGGGGCGCAAGCAGGCATGCGACAAGGCCCTGCCTTCCGTCATTCTACCATCACTCTAGCTGGTCTGTCCCCCTCTCTCCTGCTGCCCACCCCCTCCCC